AAAACAAAATCGATTTTAAATATTTAGCTTGTATAATAAATTAATAATATAGATATAATATGTATTGCTTACCAACTTATTTCAGTATTTGCAAATAGATTATTTTTTTTCGATTAGTTAATATTCTCAAAATAATAAATTTAAGATGAGTTTTTGTTCAAGATAGACCTTCGGGTTCTTATATCCTATTTCATAATAAAGATTATTAATTAGTATTCACAATCTCTAAACAAATAAATTAATAAATATATAAAGTATATTACCTTTCTCTTGTAAGGTAATCATCACCAGAATTATCTTGCTGCGACTATAATCATCTCGAAGCACCTAATCTGAAAATATCTTAAAATCCTAAATACAATGTGTGTTTTAATTAGAATGTGGCTATAATATGTAAGAAGAAGAAAAATAGTTAGTATTAATGTGAATAAATAAAAACTCCTTAAAAATAAAATCACTAATAAAAAATTTTTTTTCTTCGAATTAATTAATTAAAATTTTTTAAATTGAACTAAACATATTTAGATTAGTTCAATTTAATTATTCTAAAATTAAAATATTTTAATTAATAAACAATTAAATTAAACAAAAAAAATAAATTAATAATAAAATAACTATCAGGTGCATTATAAAAGTTACTAATCTAACTCTATTTGTCCTGATCTTTTTATTTTTGATACTATTCATGACAATGCATTTTTTTCTAACAAAATATTCCTTTCTAACGACGCATACAAATTCGCAATAAGAACAGTAAAGTTTTATTCATGATTACTAACAATATATTATTATAAAAATCTTAGATAATTAACAAAAAAAAAAAAGATAAATACTTCATCCATTTCCTCTAGTATTCATCTCAAAATTAAAAATCGTCTCTATCTTTTCGTTATAACAAATTTTCTATTTTTTATTATTATTATTATTTTTGCTTCACTTTATTTTCTTTTATTTCTTTCTTTGTAAAATTAATTCAATACTTATATTAGATTCGTATGAGGCAGTTTTGACCAAACTATTAGATCATAATATAAATAATGCTATTAGTGACCCTACTCTCGCTCCTTATGATCTATTACAAGATTACCGAGCCCAAGTTGCTATTATCTACCAATCTTTTCTTCAATCTAAAAGAACAGGAAATCGGAAAGCACAATTATGGTATGCTTATTATTTGGGTGAAATCTTGGAAAATATACTACTAGAGCAAAAAACAGCTTGTATCAAGCAACTCACCAAATATTATACCACTGCGACGGTTCGAATTTATTATATTTTCAGAAAGTGGGAAACTGCTCTAATCAACAAAACTACAAAGTTGACAGTGCCAATGATCTATGAACTAAAAAAAAAGGATTATTAGCAGATCTTAAATTATTTTTAAAATTTTTTCAATTAACATAAATCGTACAGTATTTAATAAGTAATATTTACCAGATATAATGCTTCATATTTTTAATAAAAATTATATGTATTAGTATCTGTACCTTTTAAATAAATAAAAAAAATATTTACTGCTCTTGCAAAATATATCATCAAGAGGGTTTCACTTTAACCGTAATTAGTAAAATTGATATCATGACCCTTACTACGTATGTAAATTCATATAAAGAATTTACTAATTAAATTAAGAAATGCGCTTCTAAAATTTCTAATTACATATAAACTTCTTTTATGTACAAACTTCTTTTTACGTACATACATATTAACAAAAATAAATCTAAATTCAGAACAGAAAACTTAGCCAGAGTATTATACTTATAAAATATATGATAATATATAATATTGCATATTTATCACATTCATTGCTTCAAACATCTATGATTAAATGTGCTAGCTTGATCTTTTCTATTTAAGCTTTCTAATCACCACCAATACAGTTCAATTTCAGATCTTTTCATAATCATGAATATTCAAATAAAACCATTGGCTCTTATAATTAAAAATTTTATAAAGCTCGTTAAATAGTAACTTACTATATTATGTGACAGACTTTAAATTAATTTAAGAAAATTAAGTTCGTGTTTCATTATAAGACTTAAGTTTCGCTATCACTATATATTATTGTATTATTATTGTATTATAGTATTAGTATTACAATAGTACAATGACACGTTATTAGAGATCGGCGATTGCATCCAATCAGAGATGCAATTTATTGATGATCAATAGAAACTTGGGGGAAATTAGTAAATGCGTTTAATATGATATATTAATGTGACGTATTATATGATTATATATAAATTTTATATGACGTGAAGGGTGATGTGAAAAAGTAGCTACCTTAATGTCTGCAACTATAGACAAGAGATAGTAACTATAATATATATAACAGAATATTTAAACTTTGTTATTAGTAAGATTTAAATTCTAGATATACTACTTGGAGTATGATAACTTCACTATTTACTAAGTTGTTATACCTTTTAATTAACATATTATTTAGATTTAATAATATAATATATTATTAATTGATGATTTACCAGTCAACCAGTAAGGGTCATAGTGTAATGTGATGCAGTTTACATATAAAAATTAAGGTTTTGTGAATGTGAGCTGCATCATTCTAAACCTTTTTTCATACTAAGTTAACCATCTTTGGGCTTCTAATTGAAGTTGTAGAGCTCATTGAGAAAATTCTAATAGTGGTTAAATCGTTAAAATTGGCCTTGTAGATCATAAGATATCTTTGAAAAACATTTTATCGACTATGTAAAACTCTCTTTCGACAATAGTATTGTTAAAGAAGAATTTTACATAGTTGGCAAAATGTTTTTCGAAGATATTTTGTAATACACAAGACCAATTTTGATGATTCAATTACTATTAGATTCCTCTTAACAAGCTTTACAACTTCAATTAGAAGCCCAAAGGTGATTAACTTAGTATGAAAAAAAGGTTTAAAATGATACAGCCCATATTCACAAAATTCTAATTTCTATAGATAAACCACATCACGTTATACTATAACCTATTACTGGTTGACTAGCGAATTACCAATTAATAAAAATAAAATATTAAATGTTGTGGCTGAAGCTGGAAATGGCTGAAGCTGGAAATTTTAAATATTTTAATATGAAATTTTCAAATTTTTTTGGAATGCATTTTTTTAGCTCTTTTTTCATAGTTAGATTAGGATTTAGGGTTAGTTTTGATAATGAAAGAGTATAAGTGGATTTTGGCAGGGTTTATATTTTTAAATCGGGGTCCCTGATTTCTAGCTTCAGCCGTTTCCAGCATCAGCCGCGACATTAAATTTATTAAAAATTTAAAAAGACAGAATAAACTATACAACTTCTTTAATAATTATTTGCATTAACTATTACTGAAAGCAAATTAAAAATTTAAAGCCAAAAATTAATAACAACTTGAAGTTTTCATAATATAAATTGTTGTTAATAAGTTTTTAAATATGATATACTAAAAAGCAAATATTTTGGATAGTTTGCAAAAGAGTTAAAACTTTCTTTTTTTAAATATACTTTTTTTTGTATTTAGTATCTAAACTAGAGAAGTTTTTAAAAACAACAAGCAAAAAAAAAAGCTCAAGAAGTTTAAAGATAAAAAGATATAATAAATTTTTAAAAAAACTTTTTTTAGTTAAAGATTTACAAGATTACAACTTTTTTTCATTGTTTTAATGCTTTCAAAATCAATATTAAACAAAAAGTAAAGAATTTTGCTACTCTTTATCAAAAATCAATATTGTTTATCACTTTTATATTTGTTAACTCTGTAATATAATCACAATAAATATATAGCAATATAAAAATTTTTTATTTAAGAATATTGCTTTGTATGATTAAGAATTTAAATAATATATTTATATCTTAAATAGATAAATAGAAATAGTGAAAATATATAGAGTTAACAATTTGTTATATTTTAAGAATATAGATTTAATATTAAAGCAATAAAGAGAATTTAAAATATATAGTCTAATAATAAAGTTATATATATATAATTTTTATATATATTTATATATAGGCTAAAGTATAATTAGATTAGTTTTTTTTTTTTTTTTGATATTAAGGTGATCTTTTGGTCGCGTACCTTTATTTGATTATAGTTATAATTTTATAGTATGTGATTTCACATCCTATATATATATTTGGAGAATACAACTAGTCACATATGCAACTTTTGGTTGCCTATTTAAGTAGTCCACTTATTACTAAGTTCTATACTAGATGTTATACCTATAACCTGACTAGAGGGTTATCTATTTAAACCCTCTGCGTCTATATGATTATACTTGATAACTGAGCGAGAATCCAATTCAGAAACCCTTAGTTTCAGATACCAACTTAGGACTTTAAGACAGGCTTCTTGTCCCCAAGAGCTCTTTATTCTCAGAGGTAAATCTGCTAGAGCCTTCCGTACCTACAATCTAGCTGACCTAGTCTTCAGTTGATACGTACGGGCCGAGGCCCGCCACTTGCGCCCTAGTTTTCTATATTGGGTACTATAGCCTGGTTGCTGCTACACAACATACTTCTGCCCTTATAGAGTTCACTCCAAACCCCAGTACACATGTTACAGACTGTCTATAGTATCTCCAATTATCCCAAACTACCAATCTAGATGGCCTGAAAGGGCCATGACCTGCTTCTGGTCCCCATAGTTAGGTCTTTTTCTTCTGGTTACTCCTCTGGCAGCCTGGTTGGTAGAGTGTCTTGCCAAATACTTCGGTCCTGTTCAGTTTTACCAGTTCCTCTGATGATGATTCTTTATATAGTATCGTCGAAGATCTGTATTATCTCTCTATTTGGAACTTACCAAGCGAGTGCCGCATCACCATATAGGCCCTGTGGCTTTTGTAATCCAAAGATCATTTGTGTAACTCATATATCACACAAAGGTTTCATCATCTTCCAGTTCCGATAAATTGGTACAACCACAGTTATAGGGTCTCAAGTTTTCTCAGCCACAACAATACTTGCCGAATCTATTTTTCAAAATTTAATTTTTATCTCCAGTGGGAATTGAACTTGTACTTAACCACTTGGAGGTGCAACAACTTCACCACTTCACTAAGTCACTACACCTATTAGTTTTTTTTATATCAGTTAAATTTTATATAAATATTATAATTATATAAACAAGTATCTTAATTAGCAGATATTAATTTGTTAGTTAGATTTTTTAATTTTATATTTGTACTTTAAATTTCTTATATTAGACTATGCAAAATTAATTAATTAGTTTTTATAATCTGGCCAAATCAAAATTTGAAATCTTGTAAAAAAAATTTTTTATATATTTTAATAACCAGGTAGACTTTTTAAAAAAATTTAAAAAATTTTTTTTTTTTTTTTTTTTTGTTATTAAGGCCGATGTTACGGTGGCTACTGCCTTTATTTGTGTTTTTA